TTCGGACAGCGCTGGCTCTTCAACTTGGAAACAGAGATGAGCACCGCAACCCTAGAGTTGGACTCGACTGGCTTTCGAGCAAGGGAAGCTTTACCTTTACTTTTTTATAAGTGCTATGGCCGTGGAAATAAGTGCCACAATGGAAGCTGACTGCTCGAGAGAAGTGTGAGGGGAACAATGCCGTAGGAGCTAAGCTACTGTGATCAGATTCAACGGTGATAACATTGTTTGGCTTTTCAACTCTTAGACGAAGAAGAAGAAGAAGAGATTGGATTTATACCCCGCCCTTCACTACCCAAAGGTGTCTCAGAGCGGCTTACAAACTTCCTTTCCCTTCCCCTCCCCACAACAGACACCCTGTGAGGTAGGTGGGGCTGAGAGAGCTCTTGACAGAAACTGCTCTTTTTCAAGAACAGCTCTTATCAGAACTATGGCTTGCCCATAGTTAGGTGGTTGGGGCCATACTTGGGGGGGGAGAGCCCTGGTTGCCAATCCAGTTAATGATCCAGCCAAACAGGGACCAAAATATATTTGATACTATTTTTGCTCAGTGCTCTATATCCAACATTGGCAAATTTTTCCCCCTGGCTTTATGAGCCACCCCAAAATTTCGGAGCCGGGCTTATTTTTCGGCCTTCAAAGTTTTATATGTAATGACCATACTTCCTAATGATCGCCACCACAAAACCTAAGCTCTTCACAGTTCCTGGTCAATTTTTAAAAAGCTGTAACAAAAGTGGTGCAGTGTATAAATAAACACGGGGTAACCCCCGAATGCTGTCACAACAGAAAAACTAACCTCTATCACTCACCTAAATAAGCTTTGTACTTCTGCTGAGAATCACCAAGCATCATTTACAATAAATGACAGCTGAAAATACTAGGTGCCAAAATGCAGTTTCTAGGCAGCTGGGCTTTGTTGAGGCCTACGGTATATATGGTATGCCATCAAGAAAATAAGGTACTACATTGATAATGTCTGGCTACCAATTCTCTACAGAGTTCCATAATGAGAAAGAGAGGCACAAATATTTTCCCTCACTCTGAATTCTTATTCTTCTTGCTAACACCTGTGGATCAAACATATTTTCCGTCCCTGATAATGGGGTGTTTCCAATCAGACTGCACAGCTCATTAGCGAATGCGGAGAACAAAACGCCTAAAGGGAAATCTACATCTCACTTTTGGTCTCTGACAGGATAGAGAAAGATTTGTTAATAAAAATCCCGCAAGCTTTAACAAAGACCTGGAAAGATTTGCAACGATATTTGCGATTCACCCTCAGCCCAGGGTCCCCTGGGGTACGATACTGCAACATTATCTTAGCAAACTTAAATACTCCAAGCTATTAGAATCTAGTGTGTGGCAGTTAAGGCTGTGCTAAACGCCATCAGCATTTACATCAATGGAACTTCTGTGTTGATTTAAAAAAAAGGACAGATAAGGGAAACAGGACAGTAAGCAAATCTCAAAGGACCAGAGACCACAAAGCATTCTGGGGCAAGGCTAGTCAATTCCAGAATAGCATCCCTAGAGGAGCTGCCAGGAGCAGAGAAGTTCATTACTTTTCAAAGTGGGCTGGCATAATCACTGCCTCAAATCAAGGGGGGAATATATATACACACACAATAATTGAGGTTTTTCTCTTCTACACTAAGAGATCAATCCCAAGAAAGAGTAGAAAAAATTCTACTATGCTCTGCTCATTGGGACTTACTCCCAAGTGAAGGTCCTTAGCAGGGCTCTACAGGTAGCAGGAGCTCCTTT